CCCCTGGGCCTCCAAGTAGGGGCTGGGGATGTTTTGAGGTTGAGTTTTGGGCAGAGTTTGCGGTTTCAGGTTTCAGGCTGAATCGACATGCTGGCATGCTGAATTCAATTAAACCCTCAGCCCTAAACCGCTTTCGTCTTGACTGCGTTCTATGTTGCAGAGGTTTGGAGCAGCGCCTTTCATTCCGAGCCATCTATGTTTAGGGTTTGGGTTTAGGGTTTAGGCTATCTATCTGTCTATCTACCTGTCAGAGGACGGTCTAGTCATCTATCTATCCATGGAACTGGCTATCTTTATGAGCGTGTAGAGACACACATGGTAAGAGATGGTCCCCCAGCCTATTCTGTTGCCTAGTTTTTCTACCTAGGGTCCGTCATACTCTCGGTGTAGGGTAGAGAATCGAGGGTTTCGGGTTTTGGGGGGTTCTTAGGTACAAGGTTCGGGGGCTCCAAAGTGTCGGACTTTGAACTTCAGAGCTCTGGTTTGACCCTACAATCTTGCTTGAAGAGTTCTGCTAGAAAGAGCCATGGGGTCTTCCGTGATTAGGCTTTGGAGTCTGGGCTCTAAGGTTTCACACCTTGGGGGCTCGAGGCTTGGGGTGTGTTCTGAAATGCAGTTGTTGCCCAAGCAGGCCACGATGGGAGCAGCCCTCGCAGCGTGCAATGAGGGTATACGGAAGATGCTGATGCCCGCCGCACCGTGAGTGCAGTTGTGATCTGCTAACGGCTTTGGTCTTTGAGTCAATTTGCGTTGGAGTTTCAGTGTGCTGACAATCCGAGAATTCCCAGGTTCAAAGCCGCAAGTAGCACCTAAAAACTCAATCGAAGCTCGTCCGATAATCTCTCGAGCACTCGCAAAGCCTTATCCTCGCCGACACGAAATAATTATGCTGAGCAGACTAAGCTCATTGCTGACCCCTGCTGTATGAACGACGCACCTCAAGAATCCAAGAGACTGCCCTGGGACATCCAATCACAAAGCCCAAGCCCGTGCCCCTAAGCCTTAAAACTTAAGCCCGGAACCGGAAGCCCCAAACCCACTGCCCTGAACCCGAAGCCCTAAACCATCGAAAAAACACTTAAACTCAAAACTTTTGGGCCTCTAATCCCCACAGCCAGCGCCTTGAGACCGCAAATGCTGAGGCCTAAACACCGAAGTCTCAGAAGCCCCATAGCCCAACCGTATCTTTTTTGCTAAGATAGGGGCTTGATCGTAAAACCGTACACTACAAATACATCCCGGCCCATCGTAAAAACAAACGTACGACATCTCAAAATTGAATCCCGACAAAACCGCCACAGAACCCCTGAGCAACCTACAGAACCTTCTCAAGCAACTGCGATTACTTGAAGGCTCTTCTCATTATTGATACTATTGTTATATGTGTTTGTTAATATAAATTAACATTCTTATCAGAATCGTTATCATATTTATTTTGCGGTCATAACTATTACTTCTATGAAGACTACAACCCCTAAGCCCTGAGCCCTAAACCCTAAACTTAAAAACAAATCGCAGTCCGAGGAAGGCAGCTGCACCCGGGACTGGGAGGGCTTCGGGGACCCTGAGGAGGGCTCGCTGCTGATGCTGGGCCAGGTCCGGCTCTTGTGGGCTCTTTTGAATTTTAAGGGCTCCTGTAGGGGAGCCTTTTTTTAAGGGTTCCTTTAGGGTTTAGGGTTTAGGGTTTGGGGTTTAGGCTCTAGGGTGTAGGGTTTAGGGACTTGAAGGGATCCTTTTTGAGAGTTTTGTTTTGGGGGATCCTTTAGGGGCTCCTTTTTTGGACTTAGGGTCTAGGTTTCAGGGTTTGGGGCCGTGGCTTAGGCATTTGGGGGCGCTAAAGTCCTCGGGTTAAGTATGCCATAACATCTGTAGCAGACCGGAACATACTCTGCTAGACTAGAAATCTACCCTAGTATACTCTAACCTGTTTCCATAATATACCATAACACACCCGAACCTACTACTATGATATCACAATGTACGCTAATCTACCATGATCAACAAACCATCATGAACCGTAGCATACTCTAAGCCATTATACTACCCTAGGGCTCCAAGTATACAAATAGTACCTACTTTGGGGTCCAAGGTCTGTAAAAACATACTTCGGGCTATTTGGAGCCCCAGGGATAAAACAGCCCTTAACCCTAAACCCTTAACCTAAACCCTAAACCCTAACCCCTAACCCGCCTTACAGAAATCCTGAAAGGAACCCTTAAAAAGGAGCCCTTAAAGGAACTGGGGTGCTTAACCCCGGGGCCAGGGTAGACTTCGACCCTTGGGCTGGAGTTTTGCGTGCTCTTCGCAGGTCAAGCTGACGACCTTCTCCTCGGAAGCTCGGCATAGGCTTTAGGTTTTAGAGGTTAAGGTGTAAGGCTTAGGGTTCAGGGTGTAGGGTTTATGGTTCAGGGTTGTTTTAGGTTTACAATTTCAGGGTTTAGGGGTACTTAACGTTCAAGTTTGGAGCTTTTTATGATGGCCGGAGCAGGGCTGGTTCATTTGCTGCTGGAGTTTGTGTGGGTGGGGTCGTGGAAACGAAGTGTCGAGTATTTGTCGAATGCTCAGGGCTTGCAGATCGCTTTTTGACATAGTCTTAAGCAGGGTACCCTACTTATAACCCCACTTACAACTACCTTGAACCCTATACAACCCTTAAGGGAACCCTACTTACAGCCCCACTTGTAACAGCCTGCCGGTGGGTTGAAGCACGTGCCCTGCTTGGTATTTCTGGAGCTCCTCGCCATGCCCAGAGGCTCCAAAACCCTGTAATTAAGGACTATACCCTAAGTCCGATTTGGGTTCCGAAAGTACTTAAAGGCATACTCATCAGAGCGGAGCTCTGCAACCTTGAACCCTTAACCTTAACCCCCCTCAAGAAGCCACAAACCTTGCTCCCCTACCTTATGCCCAAAGCCCTCAAAGCTAAGCCCTAAACCTTATAAAACACTAAACCCTAAACCGTAAACCTTAGGCCCAAACCCCTCAAAACTTAACCCTAAACCTTATAAAACACTAAGCCCTAAACCGTAAACCTTAGGCCCAAACCCCTCGAAGCTTAACCCTAAGCCTGAAAACACTAAACCCTAAACCATAAGCCTTAGGCCCAAAACCCTCATAGCTCGAACCGCCAACCTAACCATGAAGTCTCAATCCTGAACTTGCAAGGATTTTACGAGGACTTTCTTCGAAGAGGCCATGACACCACCAAAGCATTCTGGGGACGGCGGGTTCACTTAGGGTTTAGGGTTTAGGGTTTAGGGTTTAGGGTTTAGGGTTCAGGGTTTAGGGTTTAGAACTTATGTGTAGGACCAAGTTTATAGTAGGAACAGGTGCGTGCCCTTATTGCCACGGGGCTACTGGGGAATCCACGTTGAGGGTTTATAGGGCTTACTTAAAGGTTCATGGGACTTAGTAACTAGGGTTAAAAATAAAGTAAGTATACTTATATTTGCCTATAACCCCAATTAAGGTACTCATAACTGTACTTATTAAGTCCCATGATCCTCCAAGTAAAAACATATAACCGAGGAGTTTACGGTTCCTGCATAAAGGCCTTCTAGAATCCTTAGTCCTTTAGGGCAACTCTCAGGGAGGAGCCTCGATCAGCAGCCTTGCGGTACTTAGTGCTCGTAGAACCCTTACTTGGAGGTTCATGGGACTTCATACGCACAGTTATAGGTACCTTAAGTGGGGTTATAAGTAATTATAAGTATAGTTACCTTGTTTATAACCCTAACTCCTAAGACCCATGAACCTTTAAGTAATGAGGCTGTAGGCGTTTGAATCACATCTGGTCCTGATCCTAGGTCTTGTACCCCGAAACCCTACCCTCCAAACGCTAAGCCCCTAAACCCTAAACTTCCTAAGCCCTGTATGCACCCTAAACCACATAATCCTACTCCTAGTTGCAGGCGACTTTGTTCCACCGAACACCGAAAGCCGATAAGTAGGTTTAGGGTTTGGGGGTTGGGGCTAGGGGTTTAAGTTTAGGGGTGTAGGGTTTGGGGTATAGGGGTTTAGAGTTTAGGGGCTTCTGTTGTCTGGCTCGCTCTGAAAGCCTTTATATAACCTTGTAAACCCCTTCTACTACGCACTCACGACAGCCAGGCTGATCCGCGCCAAGGACCATGATACTTAATTGGAACAAACCGACTACACTCTTCGCCTCCTAGTGATGTTTTGGAATATGTCTTAAGTCGCAAACTTGAGGCCCATACATCTTGAACTCTATCGGCCAAGAAACTTCCCTAACTTTCCTGAAAGTTTTCTGCCGTGCCGGGAAACCTAAACCTCGAAACCCTAAACCTCAAACCCCAAACCCCAAACCCTAAACCCTACGACCCAAACCCTAAACCCCTAAACCCCAAAACCCCCTTTTGGAGGGCCTGGGAGCTCCCAGCTGCGACCCTGTTCAAGTGGGTACCACGCAGCTGAGGCGGGAGGGTCGGACTGGCTTCGGGTTTCTAGGGCCCAGGGGCATATAGGGCATCTAGGGTGAATAGGGAAGCTGAGATGGCGGACCGACAGAAAGACCACGAAGGATCTCCACATGTTGGGACGCTGCCTTGAAGGCTGAAGCAGGTTCCCAAAGGTCCGGGAGGATCTAGAAAGTAGAGCCCCTAAATCGGAATCCTATACACATACATATATATATATATGATATATGTATATCACTTAAGGTCTTGTAAAGGAACCCCTTGAAGGGACCTACTTCTTGGATCCTTCCGGCGGTCTGGGTTTAGGGTTCAGGAGCGCTCCGACAGTCAGCTTTAACATGACATGCGGCAGTGGGCCGATTCAAGGGCAAAAATGGTTGAAGCTACTGTTGATGATATAAATCCTGCATTACCTTTAGGACCCTAAACTACGGGAACTATCCAATAGTCCTTATTCTGGGTAATGCAGGATTTATATCATCAACCGTGGTTGGTTGGCGGAGATAGTATCCGAAAATGGGCAAAGGGTTTTGCAAACTTACCCCTAAACCCTGAACCCTAAGACTGCTTAGCATGAAGCATTCTTCGTTTAGCAGCTGTAAGACGTTCAACATGCACCGGGCTACCTGTGAAAAGGACGATAGCCTAAGTGTAACTGGACACCTTTTTCGAGGGAACCGCCCCTGAACCCAGAACCCTCCTCGATCGCCAGGTTTCAGTCTGCAGACGAGAAGCCTGCTTCGACGTGGCCGGGTCAGCTTTACGTTGCTTGGCTTGACTCACCCCTGAAAGCCCACCACACCCTACTTAAAGATTCATGGGACTTTGTTATTATAGGGTTATAAATAAGATAACTATGCTTACAATTACTTATAACCCCAATTGAGGTACTCAGAAACTGTACTTATTTTAGTCCCATGGACCTCCATGTAAACCAACCCCAAACCTTAAACCCTAAACCCTAAACCCTAAACCCTAAACCCTAAACCCTAAACCCTAAACGTAACCCTCAAACCTGAGGTTTCGGACAGCCTTCCCCTAGCCCTGCGCGTACCTTCGCATTCCAACTGAGCGTTGACCTGCAGAAAACAAAAGCCTTAAACCCCCGAAACCGAAACAAAACCGCGAAACCCGAAACCCTACAGTTCATGGACTTAGTGGCTTTTCAAGGTCTATGGATTTCGGGCCTTGCAGAATCCTTTCTCACCTTCAGCTTTGAGCTTAGAGATCTTCTGCTTTCCTTGATTGCCCAAGAGCCTTGAATCTCAAAGCCCTAGGGTTTAGGGCTGCGCGGTCTCGAGCCTGCAACGGTTTGGGGTTTAAGGTTTCTACAACGCCTGGAATCTGAAAGCTGAACATCCCGAAGCCCGCTTGTAGCATTAGAGCTTACGACTCTCAGGGTATAGGGAGTTCCAGTTCTACACACAATCTGCACAGCTATGATTTTGTGAAGATTAACTCTAAACCCTAAACCCTAAACCCTAAACCCTAAACCCTAAACCCTAAACCCTAAACCCTAACCTAAACCGATCTAGCAGAGAACTTATATCTCCACGGAAACCCCGCCGGTCCTTTTCCGGCAGCTTGCGCTGTGCATTTTCCATGAGTTTCTCTTCCAAGGTTTCGTAAGCGTAAGCTCTATAAGCCCTAGATAGTGACATGGTTAGGTTTTCGAGATCTGCAGCTCAACCCAGAACTTGCGCCTCGACATTGCCATGTGCTTGTGACAACTGTGGTGCGAGCATAGGTAGGGGTTCCAATTCGGATCAAGCGTTGAACACAAGCCCTCAACCCTAAACCCTAAGCCGTCATTTGCCAGTGTAGTCGGGCATCTGCGTGCTGCTTCGGGTTTCTGTGTCTGGGGCTCGGGGGTTGCGCATGCAATTTCACCCTAGGCCCTATTCCTTAGACCCTGAATTTCGATCCTGGACTCCGGTGAAGCCTAAATTCTGGAATGTTTTCTCATTTTCAATGGGAAGTACGTGGTTATCAGCAATAATACAGTTTGTAAATTTGATTATTCGCAACATTTTAGGTTTGCGACCTTCCTAGCCCGAGGAACGGGGCTTTGAGTCAGTGCGGCCATTCTGAGGCCTTGCAGTAGGGATCGTCAGAATCTTCGTTATCGTAGCGGCGGAGCATGATAAAGAATGTCAATGTCCAGAAGAACTGCGAAGTCTTCACAAGTATCATAGGGGCCTTAATGAGTAGAATAGGGTTTGGGGGATGTTCTCCTATAATTAACAAGGAACCCCCAAACCCGATTCTAATTATTAAGGCCCCTACATTACACACGATTAAGACAAAGAGATTTAGACTCGAAGTTCGACACAGAGGGTCCCCAATGTTTGGCAACTCTCAGATGTGTGCCTCGCCTAGATCTGGGTGGAGAACATCCAGGACACGTGGAAGAAGAGCAGGCCGGAGAGGGAGGACACGCTGGTGTTTGGGGTTTTCGGGTTTAAGATTTTAGGGTTTACGGGGGTTTTTAGGGTTTGGGGTTTCAGGATATGGGGTTTTGGGCTTTTGGGTTTGGGGCTTAAGGGTTTAGGAGTTTAGGGTCTATTTAGGGTTCAGGAACCTGGGTTTGAACCGTAGCCCCTGAGCGCCCGGTTCTTTGCACTTTCCCGGTGGGCCCTGAGGTTTATAGGGTTTAGGGTTCAAGTTGTGTGTGTTTAAATTGCAGCTTGCATGAAAGCCGGCTCGCAACAGCAGTTTCGTAATTCTGCCTCCAACTTTCGAAGCCCGGTTCCACAGTCTCCACTCCCACAACTACCGATCTTACAAGCGCCGATGCTCTATTCTGCCTTTCTCTCTGTATGCCCTACAAGCCCTAAACTAAACCCTGAGTGAACCCTGGACTCTGAGCATGTTGCCAGCGCCTGAGAAAGAACAAGACGCAAGACAAAGACACAACTGTTCTCAACATACCGCCAGCAAACAGACACCATTTCTGTCAACGATTCCTCAGTTGCAAATCGTCGCCACAGCTGCCAAAACTCAGGGAGTTGTTCAGGTCTGTGGCTCTCTGTCACCAACAGGGCTTGTGGTGCAGGGCTTATAGACCGTTAACCACTTATTAGGTCCGAATCCTCACCTCTATAAGCCCTAAACACCCAACCCAGGTAAGCCTGAACCCGAAACACCCTTCTCATAGCCTACAGTGGCCCTTTAAGCGCCCTCTTAGAAAAATCCTTAAAGCCTAACCCCCCGTAGAATCTAGAAAAAACCCGTTAGAACCTCTTTGGCAACCCTTAAAGCAAGAAACCTGAGCCCCAAACCAACCAAGAAAAGCCTTGTCGTAATCTTGTGAACCCTTGCCTTGACAAAGACTGTGCAAAAGCCGGTCAAATCCAAACAGAAACCCAAACCTCCTAATATAGGGGCCTAAATAACTTCCTACCATTTTGGGTGGCTCCAATCTTATAATTATAGTAGAATGGATTTCAAAACCCTAGTGCAATTATTAAGGCCCCTACATTAAGCCCTAAACCCTAAAACTCAAACCCAGCACCCTAAATTTCTAGACCCTAAACCCTAAACCCTAAAACTCTAAACCCTTCCAAAGTCCTGAACCCCAAGCCTCGAGTCCGAAACCCAGGGAGCTGTCTCAGCGCTCTGGCACCGAGATCGTCGAGCTTGTTGGCTGCGTTTCATGAGAGTCCAGACTGCAGAGAAACTTACTGAACCCGACACGCGGGTGTTAGAACAGAAAGGCCACCTATAGTTCACTTATATTATATAACCTATAGTTCACGTAATTATATAGAGCACGTGCCTCAAGAGGGTTCGGGGTTTTTCTGCATGAACCTGAGACCTCCGACGGATGCATAACCCCTTCATGGATGGCCGTAGTCTGAAGATCCCTTGTTGGGTTAAGAGTTGAGGGTTTAGGGTTGAGGGTTGAGGGTTTAGGGTTTCTGGGTTTAGGGTTTAGGGGTTGAGGGTTGAGGCAACCCTTGTTGAGGGACCGTGTTTCTTAATCGTCTATACACGGTGTAGATCCACACCTCGAGGTCTGTGGTCTGTTGCCACGACGAGCGCTACTGCGACGCTCTGGTGCATGGGAAGGGAGGTGATACAAGTTGCACCTATGTAGCTACGACATCTTCACTTACTGACTGCCGTCGTAGGACTTGCTAGTCGAACTGGTAACCTACATTCTGCTCGTATCACTTCAAGACGGGGGCGACCGACGATAGAGTTAACAAGCAGCAATCTACGTTCCGGAAGTTCTCAGCCAAATTGGCATTGTCTATCGAGGATGATCCTCGATACATCTTCCAACCCTCCACCTCAGCAGCTCCACCTAACTATGGATGCAGAAGACCTGTACCGCACGTATTTGAGCCTAGGCCCTAAACCCTAAACCCTAAACCCTCCTAAATCCCCAGGCTCCTGTCCCCTGCCTCAACCATCATGGTATTCCGGAACCCTTATCAGGCGAAGGAAAAGAGGTGATAAACAAAACTCCTAAATCCTGGCGTTCGAAACCTTGGGGTTTCGGCTTTAGGGACCGCCACGGGGGCAAGCAGCTTCGCCAGATCGAGGGATCCTCCTGGCCCGGCACGAGAGGACGTGAACAGGGGTTTAGGGTTTAGGGTTTAACTTCTGTGAGGAACATAATGGCCGGCTGTAAGATGCCGAAGAGGACATGCTCGAGTTGCGAGGCAGCATACATAACTTATAAGATTATCATCATGGTTAGTGTTATTATTGTTGTTATTCGCGTTGTTATTGTTAGAAACATGCACATGTGTTGTACAGCCCAGCAAATGCAAGTGTGGTCTTCGAGGCATTTACGGCCGAGGAAGCAGAGAGCATCATACCGCCTCAGCTAAATAGCCCGAGGAAACAGGAGGACGTGGGTCACTCCACTGAAGCTGGCTCTGCTCCAATTGGGAAACCCTTATACGCATTCCCAAACCCTAAACCCGAAGCCCCCTTAACCCTAGAAGCCAGACACCCGGCCCTCCACCTTCCATCAGGGCTCTGCGGAAGAAGGAGCGCCTCCAGAAGGCAGTCCGTGAGGCTCTTGATAGGGAGATTACGCCTGGAACGTCCTCGTCCTCAGGACAGTCCAACGACCACCGAGGCCGGGCGAGATCTCAACCAGCCGCTGAACGGCTAGCTCCTGCTTACCCCTCCGGCTCATCCCTACAGAGCCGAGCACGTATATCCCAGTCTGTCCAGACTGAGGTGCTGGATGGAGGATCAAAGTCCAGATGGACTCAGAGTACCCAGACCGACCCGGTCCTGCAGAGCACACTGATGCTGCCGCCAACGGGGATCAACCCGGGAGCAGTGATGACTACAATGCAAAGGGGGGGAGTCGTCCACCTCTACAACGACTGCGTCCCCGCACACCCCAAAAGCCTAAACACACGGGCCTTGTCCTAGTTTTAAGCTGGTAGTAGGGACCTTAATATTTAGAATAGGGGTTCGTGACAGATTATCGTAAAACCATTGAAGCACTACCGGGACATACGATAATCTACAATTTTTCGGATCTGCCCTGAACCCTAAAGCCGCAATTCTAAAGCTAAACCATTATGATAGTTCTGTCCGGGCAGGTGCTTCGCGATCCCGGCTCTGCAAACGTACTGGTGGTGAACCAGGCTGTGGATTTGATAAGGGTTTATACCCTGACCCGAGTTTCGGGTACTCGACACACTCATCAAAACCCCTACTGCTAAAGACCCACGTCCTGTTTGGGTTCAGGGTTTGGGGTTGTGGAAGGTCGCATTCGCGATGGCGTCTAGTGCGAATCGCTGAGAAGAAGTGTTCGGTTGCTGCTCGGGCCTGGCTATATAACCTCGATGAGCCCCAGCACCCAGATTCACCTGAAGCCCTGGCACCTTAGACCCTAAGCCCTAAGCATCTGAAGCTGCTAAGCCCCAAATTCTCAGCCCGAGCTTCCTACGCCATCAACATTTTTTCTGGGCACCGTAAACCCTCAACCCTACAGCTCCACTTGGCCAAACTGTGGGCAGTGAGCCCTTTTAACTTTTCTCGAAGCCTGAGTACTTAGTAGTATTGATCATTGTATGGCCTTATAAGGCTCCTTATTACTACTAAACCCTAAGGGTCCAAGTACCCATTATTTAAGGACTTTGGAGCCTTTTTGGGTACCTAAAACCATATATAAGGACTACTGGGACCCTTAGGGAAGAAGTTATCAGGAAGGCCATTACTTAAAAAAAACAACATTGCTGCATCATGACTATGGTAGTCGAACTCAGACTCAAGCCCCATTCTCACGATGAAGGCCCATATACCCAAAGGGTCCTAAGTATCACATGGGGATTCTATATCAGGAATTACTAAGTATCCCCCATAACAGTACCCAGGACTCCGGACACCTAAACCCTGTACTTCAACTGATTATAGGAGTCCGCATAGGATTTAAGGTACATTCCTTAATTCAGGGGTTTTGGAGTCTCTAAGGCCTAAACCCCTGCATCCTAAACCGTAAACCCATTCTAATTATAGAGGCCCCCCCCATAGTGGGCCCGAATCCATCGCTGCAGGCGCCCAAGGGCTACGCCAAGGCTTTGCGCGATGTCCGGCGCCGAGGACTTGGGGTTTATGGTTCATGGTGTAGGGCTGGAGGGGTTTATGTAACCAACTAGTAGCTACGGCTGATCGACAAAATCCTGCATGACTTTATATACGTAAACTATGGGATTTATGGTGCTATATTATACTTGGGTCACGCAGAATTTTGTCCATCAACAGTAGTATACACTTTGGCCCTAAAGTAGTCCCTATATAGGTACTTCAGGGCCACGGTATATACTGTTTGGGCACACGGACCCTTGGGGGGTGGATTTAGAGATTTTTGGTATGGGACAGATAGGCTTGGTAATTGGGTTTAGTGGATACCTCTACTTAAAGGTTCATGGGACTTAGTAACTGGGGTACTATACTTAAAAGTACTTAGAACCCCAATTAAAGTACTTATAACTGTACTTATTTAGTCCCACCAACCTCCAAGTAGTCACTGCATTGGGTTTCCTCTTTTGGTGAACAGGGTTCTTCCAGAGCTGGAGTTTCGGCGCTAGATGTCAACGATTCATAGCCCCAATCCCTGGCGGGGTTCATGCTATGAAGTAGGGTGCGAAAAGATCATAGCTATGGTATCGTATAGTCTAAAGACAGCGAGACCAAAAGGGTCTACTTGCACTAAGCATTCAGACCTCTACAAACCCTAAGGGCGCAAGTGCTCAAAGAGCAAATGTTAGGTACCAGAGAGGATTCAGAGTATGGAACTTGGGACCTGAAGCCCTACTATTTGGGTACTTGAACCCTTTCCCTGGGGCTCCAAGAAGCCCAAAGTAGGTACGATTTACAGACTTTAGACCCCAAAGTAGGTTCTGTTTGTATACTTGGAGCCCTAGGGTTTGGGATAACCCCTCTACCCCAAAGGGTCCCAGGTACTCTTATGCGGGAAACTTTCCCAAAGCATAATAATGACTCCCTAATATAGAAGCCCTACATTCTACGATTGTAGATGCTTAGGAACTTTAGGGGACATAGCCCTCCCTAAACCCTAAACTCCAAACCCTAAACCCCTAAACCCTAAAGCCCTAAACCCTGAACCCCTCAAACCCTAAAGCCTTAAACCCTAAACCCTAGAGCCCCAAACCCTAAAGTCGTAAACCATAAAGCACTAAATCTCTAAACTCCTAAACCCCTAAACCCTAAACCCTGAAGCCCTAAACCCTAAATCCCTAAACCCTGAAGCCCTAAACCTAGAAGCCTTAAGCCCTAAGCCCTAAAACCCCAAACCCTAAGCCCCTAAACCCCTAAACCCGAAAGCCCTAAACCCTAAGCCGTAAAACCCTAAACCCCTAAACCCCCGAAGCCCCAAAGCCTTAAAGTCCTACACCCTAAACCCCTAAACCCGAAAGCCCTAAACCCTAAGCCCTAAAACCCTAAACCCCAAAGCCCTAAACCCTAAGCCCTAAAACCCTAAACCCTAAACCCTAAACCCTAAACCCCTGGACCCTAAAGCCCTAAACCCCTAAACTCCTACACAGAGCCTTGAAGCACTTTGATCCCCGAAGCTTCGCCCAGCCAAGGCTCTGGGCAGCCAAAAGTCATCGGCGCCTTCAAGCTTGGTGTCCCGATGAAGAGTGGGTTTGGGGCTTTTGGAGTTTAGGGTTTAGGGATTTAGGGGTTTAGGGGCTTTAGGGGTTTAGGGATTTAGGGGGTTTAGGGGTTTAGGGCTTTTAGGGTTTAGGGGTTTTAGGGTTTATGGGGGTTAGGGCTTAGGGGTTTAGGGATTTTGGGGTTTAGGGTTTAGGGGTTTAGGGGTTTCGGTGTTAGGGTATTTGTGGGATTTGGGGTTCAGGAGTTTGGGGCTATAGGGGTTCAGGAGTTTGGGGTTTCAGGGGTTTAGGAGTTTGGGGTTTTTGGGGTTTACGGGTTTAAGGTTTAGGAGTTTTTTTTTGGGAGGGGGGGTGGGGGGGTTGGGAGGAGGGTTCGGTAGAATCAGGTTCCAATATCTTACGGTAGGAACTGTCTTTGTGCGGGCTTAATTCTAGCAAGGTTGTTGCTGTGGCTCCCTACATGTTTCGGATCCTGATAGAGCCTTGGCTCATCGGAAGAACCTTTAATATTTCAGTCATTCGCAGAGACCAGCACCCTTGAGAAAAAAACCTCAGGAAGCCACGACGCAACGGCCTCAAGTCTGAAAGTTGTGACCCATGCAGGCCCGTTGCTATGCAAGCTAAAGAGACCTTCCAAATCCATCAGATCTTGTTTTAGCCGTGGAAGGGACCACCCGATTTCCAAGCCCCTTCGACACCTTCGTCGGTAAAGCCAACCCCTGTATGAAAACCCCGCAACCCAAGGGCTAGAAGCCTTAAATCCCTAAACCCATCAATCTCTCTCCCATCCCATGATCCTCAGAAGCCCAGAACCGCGAAAGAGCCCAGGCCTCCCCCCCCTCCGCTCCTCCTCCCCACCATTCCCCTCCGAAAAGCCTATGTTAAGCCGCAACCCAAACCGAAGACCGCAAAGGCCCTAAATACCTTAAGTTCTTTCCTAAACGCTTATGTGTCCCACAGACCGCAATCCTATGAGCCAAGAGTTCAGCAGCCTCCAAACCGTTAACCCCCAACAAATCCGAGAGCCTTACCCCCCCTCCCCCAGGTGTGTCTCATGGACCTGCTTTGCAGAGCAGCTCGGTTGTTGCTGGCCCTAGAAAAGTTAGAATCCTGGCTTTCACCGGCCCAGCATGGACTTGCTGTGACAGGAGGATCTTGCAAGCCTTGAACCCCTGAAGCCGTGAAAGTTCAGTCTTCATCATACTCTGCACCCGAAGCCCAACACTCAAAAGCCGAAAGGCGTACAACCTTAAAGCCGCTTCTAGCGACCAGCGGCTCTTTAAGAGGATACATGGTATAATCCTGCCTTAAGGAAGCGATGGTTCAGGGCTTGAGATTTGGGATTTTAGCGGTGCTTGTGGGTTGGTGTTTAGGCTTTCTGGGTTTAGGATTTTGAGAGGTTTAGTGTGTAGATGTGTTTAGGGTTTAGGAAGATTTGTTGAATTACAACGTTGCAGCATGTCGAGCCTGGTTTGGAATCAGCATGAGCCTTCAGCCAGACGAAAAGGCCTTAAATGATACAATAGGATACTCTACAAATCACAATTAAAATCCATTAGCATTATTGTTAATATGTATTTATTGTTAATTTGTATTATTATAACAACGCAACTTTACAATAAATACAGACTAGCAGTAATGCTAAAATGGTTATACTAATTACAAAGCAACCCGAGCCCTGGAACCGTTGAAGTTCTGAACCCTAAGCCCCAGTAGCACCCAAAGCGCTTAAGAGTGCAGGCTGGAGCCTTTCGTAAAGGTATCCCCATATCAGTTTTGGATCGTGTTAATATGTACTAAACCCTAAACCCTAAACCCTAAACCCTAAACCCTAAACCCTAAACCCTCCGCTTACACCCCCGGTCTCCTATTCTAACCATCCAAGGGTCCCTTATACTGGAACCTACTAGAACACTGGTGGAGCCCTGAGCAAACCCTATACAACTGAATTGAAATTATCGAGGCCCTAAACCCTAAACCCCCACCACGGTTTAGGGGTTAGGGTTTAGGGTTTAGGGCCCTAAACCCTAAACCCCCAAACCTGGCCCGTAATCTCCCGGGGCAGACGTCTAGCCACCAAAATGGCCTTCCAGCTGAGCCCTGGTGTGGACTCTTAGTGAGGCTTTAACTAGGGCTTGGGGTTCAGAGTTTAGGGTTCAGGGCTTTAGGCTTTAGAGCTTAGTAGGGCTTAACTATCCTACACTTTGCTTGTTCTCAGCCCATGAACCCTAAAGCCGTAAACTCCTAAACTCTACAACCCCAAAATCAGAAACTCTGCAACCGGTCTAAGTCCCTGTGCTTCGCAGGCCTGAATAGTTCCCAATATTATTCCTTAGGTTCCCTCGTGATAATTATATGATAATGTATCGCCCTCAGCCCTACTCTAATCATGAAGCCCCGTATATTATATCATAGAAGGCTTGTAGTAACCCTTGTAGAAGCATTTGCAAAACCCTTTTCAACGCAATGAAGGAGCTTATAGTAGACTCTCAAATCTGAGGTCCCAGTTGGTACCTCTGTGAAGCTGGCGGCCTTTTACGATGCTTGGCGCCGTTTCGTCTTGAATTCGAAAAGGTGTTTCTGCGTTTGCTACTTAGAATTTGCATCGTGGCGTCCTTTGTTTTCTGAACATCCCATCCGATCTTGGGTTTGGTTTGGGGTTCAGGGGTTTGGGGGTTCAGGGCTTTGGGTTTAGGATTTTAGGGGACCCTAAACCCTAAACCATACAGATCCGATCCACAGGTTCAAACATTTGCCCGCCTTACTCAGGTTTCTCTAGAGGTTTGCCAGCTTAGCATAAGAACTCCTGTGGCCAAAGGATTTGTTAAGCGCCTTTATGGGCTAAGTCATATCCAGAAGATCTAGGTGATAGCTAGTTTTTTAATCCGTGGTCTCAGTTTACCTTTGACTGAAAGAAGACCTCCATGCCAGACGCACAGCCAGCTACTGGCACACCGCGAATAGGGGTTTGGGTTCAGGGTCATACACGATGTGTACTCTATTTCAGAAGCCGTGTAGTCTCCTGAAAGCCTTGGCCGTCTTGCCTGAAACTGACGGTCTGCGCCCTTAGCTATAAGTATTCAGGAGCGCTTCCTTTCCGCGAAGGTCATGCAAGGTAAGGACGGAAGCTTGGCTCACACTCAATCTTCTGCCTTCGGAAGTTGTTATCGGTGTCAAACCCGCTGTCTTCACTCCTAAAAGCCACCCAGCCCAAAACCCTCAGCAGGAAACGTTCCGAATCTGACACCCAACCAGGGGTATGGGGCTTAGGGTTTCGGGCATAGGTTCTGTGGGGATTATGCAAAGGCTTCAAATATTTAGGGTTCGGGTGGTGGTCATAATAAACTAGATCCCCGAATGTCTGAATCATGCCATTCCATTGGATTCGAAGCCCTAAACCCAAGACCCAAAACCCTAAACCCCAACATCCTAAACCCTAAGTAAACCGTTGGGGCTCTCGATGTTGCAACATTCGGAAGAGAGAGGGGACTCTGGGTTCTCCAACCCTCTTCCAGGCCCTACTGCTCTCCGCAGCCCTTGAGCTCTGACGCTGAAACGCATCGAACCAGAAAGCTTAACGCCCGGGGTTTAGGGTTTAGGGTGCCTCCGGATGATATAAGGGTTTAGGGTTTAGGGCGCCCGGATGATATAAGGGCCTGAGCAAATTTGAATGGGGGTTCAGTATCGCATTAATACACAGGTATGTAGAGTTTGGAGATGTGGGCAGTCAGAACCAAAAAGTCAACTAAATCCTAAGCCCGAAGTCGGTTCTTTCCGAGCCGTCTATCTGACTATCTGTCGGTGCTCCAGTTTGACCTGAGATATCATCGATGGAAGCACTGATTATAGGGTCTCGGTTTAGAGTAGATTTCTTCTTATGTTTTATACATCGGAATTTCTTTCCCTAGTGATATGCCACGAGCCCAGGCTACCGCCTGCGTTTTGCATCAGGCATCTGCCCCGGGACTCGTTGGGATCTTGGGATTGCGGTCGTTCTCTATCAGCTCCAAAGCTTGAAACAGTCAGACATGCAGCGGGACTAGGTTGCCCTTAAACCCTGAACCCTAAACCAAAAAGCCCTTCCCTTCAGAAAACGAGTCGAAGAGCTTGGCTGTCGCTGATGCTTGTTGAGGAAACCCTAAAGCCTAAATCCCTAAACCCTAAACCGGGTGCCTTGAGCGCACGAAGCACCCGGAAACCGCAGTCCAAAAGCCCAGCAGTTGAGGGTCAAAGGGTTTTGGGGAGCTTAGGGTCTGGGGCTGAAGGGTTTAAGGGCTTGAGGTAAGGGGTCTAGGATTTAGGGTCTTGATCCTTCAGAGTTTTAGGGATTTGTGTTCAAATTTTGTGGTCGAGGTAGTGCTGTGGTGCTTATTCACTTTACACACGGAGCCTTGGTTGCCCGTACCACTACCCTAAAGCCCCCTGTGCAGAAGGGATGTGTTGCTCGGAGTTGGATGCAGCATTCTGGACGCAGAGTCTGCATGGGACTTAGTACCTAGGGTTATAAATAAGTAACTATATTTATGATATTTGTATCTGTACTTATTAAGTCCCATGTGCCTCCAAGTGTGCCTAAGCTCGAATCTCCAAGGTTGCAGATCCGAAGCCCTAAGCTCTTAAACCCTAAAGATCTAGGGTTCACGGGTTAGGGTTAGGGTTTAGGGTTAGCGTTTAGGGTTTAGCGTTTAGGGTCTGGGGTTTAGGCTTTAGGGCCGAAGCCAGACGCCTTATTCGTCCTTCTCGTTGTGACAGGTGACGTCCTACGCCAGACTTTCACGTTCCAGGAGCCGGCTCCAAGTGGGCTCTGTAGGTTCTATCTGAGGAACTTATATGCTTCATTTGGGACAGTATTTTAATAATCTGGTCTCTGGGTTCGCTTTAAGCATAAGCAACTTAATGTAAGTTACCATACGAAGGCAACCCTTCAAATTTCGCTATGATGGTAACTTAACTTCAGCTCCTCAACAGAACCCAGAGTAGGGCGACCCGGAGATTCCAAGTACCACAGAAGCCTGAACATTTGGACACACCATATTTCTTAGAGTCTTAGAGGTTTGGGTTTGGGGTTTAGGGTTTAGGGTTAGGGTTCCTTATTGCAACCATACCATACCAGGCACCCCAAAACCTGATGCAATTTATTTATGCCTCTATAGTACCTTGCTGTAGGATTCGGGATCACTTTGGGCGCTGTAGAGTCACAAACTCAAGAATCCCGAAGAAGTAACTTACTTACTGTATAAACTATCAACCCAACGTTGCAAGAGTCTGTTTGTTGAGTTGTTTTTTGATAGCCGCAGAGCTTAGAATTGAACTGAAACTAGGGTGAACCCGGTTATCACCCTAAATACCCTAAACCTTCGAACTAAATACCCTAAACCCTCGAACTAAATACCCTAAGCCTTCGAACTAAATACCCTAAACCTTGGAACTAAATACCCTAAACATTCGAACTAAATACCCTGAACCTTCGAACAAATTCCCTAAACCTTCCCCTGAACCCTAAACCCTAAACCCTAAGCTTAAATCTCATGTCTGCGCAAAGCGCAAAGGACGACGAGTCCGCCACTGAAGCGTGGCTTCCCGCGCAGTTCCCTAGCGAGGCCGAAGCTGAGCCACGTCTTGCATTGGGGTTTGGGGTTTAGGGTTTAGGGTTTAGGGTTTAGGGTTTAGGGTGTAGGGTTTGGGGTTTAGGGTTTAGGGTTTAGGGGCCGATGGACAAAATCCTGCATGACCTTATATTATACACCTAAACTATGGGAGTTATGGTACTATACTATATTTGGGTCATGCAGAATTTTGTCCATCAACAGTATGATTGGTACAACTCTTATAGCACCGTTGTTGTTAGTACCATTCTGTTTCTTATTGCGGGATTATTAGGGTATAACTCTTTCAGCAAAAGTGTTGTTAGTACTATTCTTCTTCTTATTATTAGGGCCATGCTTCTTTTTCTTGTGCTTAGATTTCTCCTTTTGCTCTTATTCCTTGTAACCTATTTGTGCATGTAGGTACTGCCAGTAATAAATCGGCTGAGTTAGTTTCCTAGATGATCATCTTTAAGTTGTAAGTACACTGAACCTTTAGCTAGTTTCCTCATAGGCCCCTTCCAAAAACCTTGTAAATTGGCAATATATAGTGCCTTCATAATCTCTTCATAGACCCCCTGTAGACCCCTTATAGAACCCGTTGTAATCTCTTCATCGAGCCCTTAAAGCACCCCGCCATAAACTCCCAATAGATCCCTTGTATAAACTCCTGCTAAAGCTTGAACCCTTGAACCCTAAACCCATGGTGCTGTTGATGATATAAATCCTGCATTACCTTAAGGACCCTAAACTATGGGGATTGTGGTCTGTTCCTTACTATGGGTAATGCAGGTTTTATATCATCAACCGTAGTATATTGGACCTTCTCCTAAACCCTAAACCCTGCCTAAACACGAAACCCTAAACCCTCAAATCTAAACCCGAAGCCCCTGGTAGGTGTGCTTCTACCTCGAGTCGGATGCCAAGTTCCGCATTGCCTTCGCCAAGTTCTCCAACGCAAAGCTCGCAACGGGAGACTGGAGCGTCCCATGTCATCAACCGGCTTAGGCTTAGAGCTAAGGGAGGCTTAGGTTTGAGGGTAGTAGGTTTAGGGTTTTGGGTTTAGGGCTTAGGTTTAGGTTTTAGGGTTTAGGGTTTGGGGCTCAGGGTTTAGGGTAGCTGAGAGTGTTCCTTAATTACTGCCTTAAGTAGGGATTACTATACTCCTAAATCCCAAACATGAAGCATATCATGCCTAAACACGAGCGGCCCAACCCCCGCCCCCCTCTCCACTTTCAGCCCTGACCTTACCAGCTCTAGCATCCAAACCCTGGATCCTACTTTGCCTTCTGAGAGACTACAGGTTTATTCCAAGTACATGGGTAGTTTTGGGGACCCTGTTTATACGGGCGCCGCACTATTTTGGGGACTTTTAAAGGGACTATAATTTAGAGAGCTACCCATATGTGTCTAAATTTCAGGAGTTTCAGAATCTTTGCTTTTGTGTTTCAGTTTGTCAGACAAAGGAAGGAGGGTTTTGAAAAACCCTCTCCTGCTAGTGGCATCAAACGTGGAGTCAGTCTCGGCATCACGTGTGCAGAGTTCAGGGTATACCTGTGACCCCAAGCCCTACAAAATAGTAGGTTATGACCCCTTAATTGTAGGGTAGAACCTCTAAAACGGTTTTTGAGGTAGGGTTTAGGGTGTCTTCACGTGTTCGCAGTCTGGGAGGAGCAAGCAACAGCTTGAATAAGTGCCCAGTGCACGAAACGCGTCGCTACCTTCACTCGCGCCATAGAAAACACTGCATCCCCTCGGCTAGAGAATGCATCCCAGAGAAGTGTGCTTCAAGTCAGCCCCCCCACCCGCCCCGAGTAGAAAACGTCAAGAATCCGTCATCACTGGTTTGGGTTTTGCGCAGGTGCATGGAATATTCTATCTTTCATAGGCCTCTACACCTCTCAAAAGCCTAAACCCTAAATCCCGAACCCCAGGACGTAAGCCCTAAACCCTAAGGCAAAGCCCTATATAAGTGCCCAGGAAGCGGAGCGCGCCAGAGAGTTTCGCATCAGCCACTGCATCGACGAGTCCGGGTCTTCGGGGCCGCAATCGTTTTTTGTTTGGGGAGTAATGTATGTATGGTTTAGGGTTTAGGGTTTAGGGTTTCGGGTTTCGGGTTTCGGGTTTCGGGTTTAGGGTATGTATGTATGTATGTATGTATGTATGTATGTATGTATGTATGTATATAGATATAGGGTTCAGTGTTCAGAGTTGAGTTTAGGGTTGAGGGTACAGGGTTCAGGGTCGAGGGTAGAG